AAGAGGTCGCAACTCAAACTTGGAGTACGGCCCCTCTCCCCACCCTCAGTCCACCACTGCTCATAAAGTGTTAAGATGCACCCATCTCACATTCGTGCACATTAGGAGTCTTGTTTTTGCTGACTCTTCCATTTGGAATTCGGATCACATGAGAAAATCTGTACTCAAAAAACATAAAATCACACAATCGGTGCTGCATGTCTTTCACTCGGCCTCCTGTGACTCGCTAATTTGCGCGTGGCCAGTTTTAGTGTCTATAATGAACATGCTCTCAATGATGTTTTCGAAAAGAAACTCGTCTCTTCCATAATGGTGACGAATGAGTTGCATTGCTTGTTTACGAATTGTCAAAAGTCATGAAATCACTTCAAACAAAATCTGTTTGTTTGCACTACTGTCCATTTGTCCAATTACCTGCTATTACAAAGGGAGGTTGCATTTTGATGAAGAAAGTGCGTTAATATTGCATTTTATACATTCGTTTTAGAAATGGGTATTATTGGTTTTTTCAAACATTTTGCACGATCAATGTCGGTCATCGTGATGTGAGAAAAGTCTCGCTAGCCCGCTACTCGCGCAATCAAGTTCTCAGTCAGCAGATCTTTTCTGTCGTGGTGCGCACGCAGCGTGCGCCATTATTCGTTCCACCTACTTCCATACTCCAGTTTGTCCTTTGGCGATAAGAATTCATTATGTCATTTTCTGTCTCTATTCTTTTATATTCGTTGACATCAAAAGCACGATGATAATCCACTTTGGACTGAGAGAATAGAGGGAGGGGAGAGACGGGAAGGGGGAGGGGAGGGAGGGAGAGGAGAAGCGGAAATATTAGTTTGTCAAGTTGTTATACGCGTCTTCTAAGGGCCGCATGCATTAACATCCCCGCCGGGGAGGGGATCGCAGCTCACAAAGAAAGCTTCTCTTGAAACTCCAAACTTCGGAATTTCACGCTGTCTTCCTACCCGTAAGTATTCCCACCATCATTCACAACGAAAATATTGGACTGGAGCGATAAGCTGTACAGACCGCATTTTTCAGCTTTTTGCATGTTCCTTTGTTGATCTTCAGCGGCCAACTGTCTTCTCTTCGAAGTTACTTTTCTTCCTTCGAACTCAACGAATAGCTCCCAAAGTTGTACAAATTATCTAACCCAACATTGCTTAGCATGTTGGTGATAAGAACAAATGATATGTTGGAGTCATGGAATTTGCGATGAACAAGTAAATGTTGGGGTTTATCAAAAAATTCGGTTTTAAAAAAACTGTCCTTAGCAGCAATATGTTTAGCATTGTTGTGTTAGATATTCAGTACCAGCGGGGATGTTAATTCGTGCGGCCCTAAGTTGTTATAAAAGTTTTTTTCTAATGTTTTCGATGTCATTGACTTACAGGGCTTATCAAACGCAGTGTCGCTTGCATCAGCATTTCCACCCCCGCGCCGGATTCTGTGTCTCTTCCGCGAACATGCTCTTTGATCACTTTCCCAGGGCGAGCGTGGGAAAGGCGGATCCTCAATCGATTGGAAGTCATTCGGAGTCCAGCGCGGGAGTGGAGATGCTGATGCAAGCGATATGCGTTTGATAAGCCCTGTACGCATGCCACCAATCATGCCACCAACCCTCCACACATTGAAATTTCCGAAAAATTGTGAATCATTAAATAATCAAATATTCAGAATCAAAAGTTGAGTAACTATATATTCGCATACATAATCAAATTGCAATAAAGTTGAGTAATTGAATGATTAGTTTAGTCCTGATTTTTCCTGAATAATCAGAGTTTTATTCGAATACACGATTTTCTACCCAAATATTTGAACTAATGATTCATTCTATCTGAAGTATAGTGCTAATATTGCAATACTCGTTGTTACTTGAGTAATCGCATAATAGGAAAGCAGTATAATCGAATGACTAAATAGGTTGGTCCACAGGCCTTGCAATAAAGATTGTAAATATCCGTTCAAGAAATGTTAGTCCTAAGAATATAACAAATATTCTGTTCTAATATGTACTTAAATTATGTGAGGAAATTGTTGGTTAGAAAACTCAAAATCAGTGCTATTCTCAGATATATTCAATTAGTCGAATTGCTCTCAATCGGAAAGAAGAATTTGTAAAACCACATTCATAGTTATTAAGCATCTAGCAACCAAAACCGAAAAATACGATCTGACTGTTTTTTATTATTCATCGAATTGCACCTCCACAATAAGCCGTTATGAACTTTTGATCAAAGCGAAAAAGGTTTATTATCCTCTTTTTCTATTGACTCGAACACACGTATTGAAACTAGAATAATCTATAATTTCTCCAAAAATTTTGGCACAATATGTCAACTCAATATATCCGAAAATCCAGAATTTCGAAACTCGCATAATCTATATTCAGAGTGAAATTTTTAGAATAAGCGAAATAATACCGTCTAGACTGTCTATTACATTCGACACTCTAGATTTCCTAATAATAGAATATCGAATAATTTTTCAATTGTTCTGAATATAGCTAGTCAATTGTGTTTTAGCACTATCTTCACCTCTCGAGGTTCTTCTCCTGCAAATAGCGATGAATTAAATATTTATGAAAGAGTTGCTCAATTCAAAAATCTTTAAATAGCGGGAAACCCCGACGGATGCCAAAGCGAAGGCTCTTCGAAATAGCACCTAGATTACTGTTCAATAGTCATCTGAATTAGAGTCAACCCGCATATCACACAAGTTTGCCTGGTACAAAAAAACTGAGTTTACGCAGATATTTGGAACCTGAACAATCGCCTAACACAACAGGGTGTTTTAAGACATTCCGGCTTCAAGTACCTCAAATGTGAGTTTTGATGCTTTTTGTTCTGTCATTTTTAACAAAGTTAAAGACCATTACATCTGAAAGAAAAAACTTTTTTACTAGAAGAAACTGCAAAAGTTCACTCTCCTCGCCTTTCGCTTCGCCGAACAGGCAGAAAATAGCGTTTTTTATTCTAAATTTTCACTGTTGAAGAACGAAAAAAGCTTCTTGTTTTTTTTTGTTAAATATGCTAAGTCTAATCAAAATATCTTCTAAAGGATGTTGAAAAGCTTTGTTTTTATTTCTATATCGAACAAATTCTTGAAAGCCTGTTCACTTTTTTTTTGGAAAACCCTATTCTTTGTCGACTTTAAAGCTAAAACCTTATCAGAATTTTGTTGTTTTTGAACGCACGACATTTTGAAACTAACTTAACTTTACGATTACAAAGGCAGACATTTTCAAAATGGAGACGACTTCAACGCCACTTCATTCCATTCATCAGATTGTTAACTAAGTTTTGCAACTTCTTTATATTTGTCTCGCTTTGAATATTACACACTCAAATTTTGTCTTTATGTACGCTAGGGCTAGTATAGGCGCAGCTACTGCTTTGCTAAATTCTGATGTGGCAGCACAAGTCATGGTATAATAGATGTAAGAAAAAATTATAGATCAATACAGGTTTGGCTGAAACTTGGCGTAGGGAGGACACCTCTCCAAATTCCACTATCTCTTTCTTTCTGAGCTATGGAACCTCCGGCAAAAATCAATGAGGTGAGCAAATGTCAAGCTGGAAATCGTTTTGGATGGGAAGCAAAGGGGATATCGTAAATGTACGTTTACATGTACATAGACTCTTTCGACAAGTTGCTAAACGACTGACATGCACAAACACGTTTGCTCGCGCCTCATCTTCAAAATCCGAAGTTATTTTTTTAATGGGCTGTGATTAAATGTCTCGTTTACAGCGTCATAACGATTTGACTAAGAATTTGAGGTTAAGCGGACATGGACTAGGAGGAGCATAATGCAGAGTATTGTGGATAGATCATGTGACTGAAGGTTGTAGTATAATAGGCTGTTTTGAAAATCCTCCACTACCATAAAATGATAAAATAGCTCATATGCAACGCACAGATGACGATTGGCACGGACTTCGTTGTGTGTGTACGCGCAGTTGGACTAGGGAACAAAGTCCGAAATTTATGAAAAACTTATGTGAATGAAGAGCTTGCTTAACTTTTTTTCCATCATAGGTGGGCAGCTGACCACCTAATGCCCACCTGAAGTAGGTAAAATTTCCATTTCGCGTAAGTTTTTCGTGATTTTTACGTAAAGCTATTCTACACTTAAAGTTAGTATGTAGATTTGGTTCCAAAATTTTTCTCTCGTCCTTGTTAGGAACTGGATAGCAAGAAAGCTGGTCCTTCTGAGGAGAAAAGCGCGCTTCAATCGAACAAATAAGCAGCTTTCGGGATCATGCGGGAAATCGTAAAAATCAATAGTGGCAAAGGCGACATCGTTTCAAATCCAACAATGTCTATTTGCCACCCTCGTGCTAGGCCCTGATCTAATATAACATGAGGAAAACTAGCTATTGATTTAACGAAAACTTGCTTCTGCAAGACCTGGTAGGCTAAAATAATTGTAAACCTCACCAGTGGATGATTCTATCAAACTCATAAGTGTTGTTTTCAAAGTTAATAATATACACTGCTTATGTTTATTCTGCCCTAAATTTTGATAAGATAGCTTTAGCATCATAACGTTTTGCATGTGGATGTAGAACAGGACTACGATTTTTTTCCAGTTAATGCCTCGCTTTTACGAGATAATGCGTCGTTCATTAGCTAGAGCAAGGATTTGCAAAAATGTCCGCCTTGCTCGATGCGATGACTCATGCAATTCTCCATTTCCTCTCTAACTGACGCCAATCTGCACTGGGTAATCCCTGTCACCAGTAGTTGTCTTATCTTCTTTCACGCTCAAAAAGCTAAGCAAGGTATCAAGACAAAAATGAGCTGAAGACCAGTTCAGACAAAGGACACTTTTTAGAAGCTTGTAACAAGTCCCCGTAAAACTGCGTGATTTCCGCTCCGATGTTTGCGCCCACGCAAATCTCTTCACCGTTTCTTTCTCTTCTGAGCTGCAATTCTTCAATTCTAGAGTTTCGCAGTGCCATGAAGTTCCCGGTTGTAGAAAACTCGAAATTTTAGGAATGATTGGTATCATGAATTGTGGCTCCGACGCATCCGTCGAATTCTATGCTAGTAATCGAGCAAGTTCGCTCTATCAGCGCAAAGCATCCAAAGATGAGAGGACGTAAGTTACCACTTTTAACGTTCACTTTAAAGTAATGAGAACTTCTCACTCTCCATTCCATTCTTTCCGCAAATCTGATAGAATGACGATGGACAAATATAACTAATATTTGGCGCAGCTTTTTTTTTCAGGGAAACACTATTAAAGTGATTATCCAATCAGGATTTCCATAACTGAACCCTTCGCTCTTGTCTTTTACGACTTTAGCTTATAAATTTATATTCAAAGTTCTGAGAGAATCAATCGCTCAAAACTAGCCAATCTTCGTCTGGTCTTTAATCACATAGTCGGGGTATTTTAGAATGATTCAGTAGCTCTTAATGCACAAAAAATTCACTAATCAAAAAATAAAACAAAAGTGCATCAAACAAACTTGAGATTCGGAGCCTTCGAAACTCGCTCATTATCTAATTCTGATTTTGCAAAGTAATCAAGCTTTACCTCTCCAAATCTATATATTAGGTTGTTGCAAAAGTTCTGTCGTTTCATTTTCAAAAATTTGTAACTCCGCGAAATTTCAACGGATTTGCTTGCTTGTAATTTTATTAGAAAGAATAAGTCTTTCGCTTTCAAATACTGTTCTGTGGAGCTTCTGTTTCGTACTGAGTGCGGAGATAAAAATGGAAAACTAAGACTATAGAAGCTTTGACCATTTTAAGTTAGGTCACCAAAAATCTGGAATGCTGCAGAAAAATCTGAAATCGTCAGTACATATGTTTTTCGGCCTACCCTTTGCATCTGTGAAAAGTTTGTGCTGTGTTACGTCTCTGTGAGAAGTTATGATTTTCGCGAAAATTGACAAATTAATGGCGCTTTCCATAGTAAACTCGATATTCATAATTTCTCACAGAGACGTCCAAACAACGCAAACTTTTCACAGATGCAAAGGGTAGGCCAAAAAACATATGTACTGAGGATTTCAGATTTTTCTGCAGCATTCCAGATTTTTGGTGACCTAACTTAAAATGGTCAAAGCTTATATGGTCTTAGTTTTCCATTTTTATCTCCGCACCCAGTACGAAACAGAAGCTCCACAGAACAGTGTTTGAAAGCGAAAGACTTATTCTTTCTAATAAAATTACAAGCAAGCAAATCCGTTGAAATTTCGCGGAGTTACAAATTTTTGAAAATGAAACGACAGAACTTTTGCAACAACCTAATATACAGGGTGTCCCAAAAAAATGTTAACACTGTTTGATCGTTAATAACTCCCTTACTTTCAAGTCTTCCGCCGAGCTTCAGGTACCATTTTGTAGAGCAAGGATAAGCTTAAATTTACAGTATCGAGCGAATCATCTAACCTTCCTCGTTACTGTAGAATTACGGTAGGAAATTTGACAAAGACTTTAGGCCATTAAAGCTCATTTTCTGCTTTGAAACAGAGCCAAGCAAGCCAAAATCTCTTGTACTATGGTAATGAAAGCCGCTGATTTCGGATATGAAATTTTCATTTCATTATGATACTTCTTTTCAAAGTTATCCTAGGTAAAGTGTAATAACTGACTTCCCAGCCAGGGCCCGGCACAGACCGTCTGGAAGCAGGCTGGACTTCGTTTTTGGAGTAAAAAGCAAAGGAGATATTGTTTTTGACGAGTCGGGGTCAAGAGTAAGCGCCATTTAGTCGAACATAAGCTTTTCAGACAGGTTATCACACGACTGACATGCTCTATCCTGCATGGCGAAAAGTGCGCGCGATTTGAAAGCAAGGCTAAAATTAACAATTTGCTTGTTTACAGCGCACACAGAACCATATGACACCAAAATTGAACTGTATACTTAGAAAATTATTTGCGGAAGGATTATGTGAAAAGATTTGAAAACTTATGTGAAGTAATACCTTTTCCAAAATTAGATGGTCTCCAGACGGCCACCAGACGATCTGAGATCGTCTGGAGCATATATTTTTGTCGCTTCACATAAGTTTCGGATCTTTTTAGCATGGACGGATCCCCCGGTCAAAAATCTATCCCTGAGCATGAAGACATTTTCATATCATTGCCTTTACTTTATTTTTTGCCTTCATTTCTTCATAAATCGCTTTGTCAAATATCGCGCTCCAATGCCAAAGTCTTGTGCATGCAATTTTAGTAGTAATTTAGCTCCAATTTGGATTTTCACTCGTATCTCACGTTTTTTCTTCCAGGTTGGTAAACCTTTCTTGTTTTCATCTTCCCGTAAGTGGGTAGGTCAAAGAGGACTTCGTAAAACTTCCGAAAGTCAGGGAGGACTTCGTTTTCCGAAACCCTAGAAACCGACTCGTGCTGGGCCCTGTTCCCAGCATGTGTCAAAAATGTGATTACACCGTCAGAAAAGCTGAAAACACTCGCAAAAAGTTGTGTAGTAAAATCAGCGTGCGCGAAAACCCTAGTACACGACTTTTCAGATTTTTTGAAAACATTTTTGTCAGAGGGCATATTTCATGACGGTTCATGCTGGAATTTGCTACCGTAATTCTACAGTAACGAGGAGAGTTAGATGATTCGCTCGACACTGTAAATCTAAGTTTATCCTCGCTCTACAGAATGGTACCTAAAGCTCGGCGAAAGACTTGAAAGCAAGGGAGTTATTAACGATCAAACAGTGTTAACATTTTTTGGGACACCCTGTATACAGGGTGTCCCAAAAAATGTATCCACTGTTTGATTGTTAATAACTCTCTTACTATGAGTTCTTTCGAGAAGCGATAAGCACCAGTTTGTAGAGCTGGCTTTAACTTAGATTAACGGTCTAGAGCTAATCGTCCATCTTTTCGTTACTGTAGAATTACGGTAAAAGCTTGAAAGAGGGTTTTGGGCCATAAAAGGTCGTATTTTGCCTTAGAAAGGAATCAAAACAGCCTGAAAACTTTCACACTAGGCCAATTAGAGTTGCTGATTCTAACTGTAAAGTTCCCTACTTATTATGATGCTTCACTGAAGAGTTATGTGAGGTAAGCAGTAGCGGCCATTCTCTCAATGTTCCTAAAAAGTGCGGTTACACCGTTTAGAAAGCTTCGCAATCTTGAGATTAGTTGAATAATGAACTCAGCGTCTCTAAAAATCCTATTGCACAAGTTTTCACATCTTTTTGAAAATTTTTGAAAGGCAGCTTTTTCCACAGTGACAGCATATGTTCCAAGTTTCTACACTAATCCTACAGTAACGGAGAAAGATGGACGATTCGCTCTTACTGCAAATCTAAGCAGAAGCCAGCTCTACAAAATGGCGCTTACCGCCTCTCGAAAGACTTCATAATAAGGGAGTTATTAACAATCAAACAGTGGATACATTTTTTTGGGACACCCTGTATATTAGGACGTTCCGAAAGTAATGTCGCTTTTTTCGAACGTACGCCACAGCTCGTAGAACAAAGGTGTGTAGTCGGTTCTGGTAGCATTTGATGCAGCATTTCATACTATACTTGGGTCCGAATCGAATAGAAATTCGATCATTCGAATAAAAGATTCGAATATATTCGTATTCGAAATTCGATATTCGGAGTTCTTCAATTTTCGAATAATATCCGAAACTCGAATAATTGAGAAAACGGGGTTTCGAATAAAATTCGAAACTCGAATAATCAAAAAACAGGGTTTCGAATAAAATTCGAAAACTCGAATAATCAAAAAACGAGGTTTTGAATATTATTCGAAAACTCGAATAAACAAAAAACGGGGTTTCGAATAGATTTTATTCGAATGTTTTATTCGAATGTTTATTCGAATTCGTATTCGAATGTACTCCGTATTCAGATTATTCGACTTTGTTGCAGAGCCAACTGCTGAGTATCAAGCTCACTTCGTCCGCGTTTTTTTTTCGCAAAACTCGGTAATGCATCTTTTGCAACCGGTATACCTTTGAACTGTATGGAGAGTCGCATTCTTCCGACTGCCTGCGACAGTAAAAAAATCATATGTGGATTTAATTGATGTTTTTTCGATCAATGAGATTGTTCGCACTGCTATTGGCAGCAAATCAGCAAAGAAGATATCAAATTCAAGCTCATGTTCTGAGTTCATACTAAATTGAAATGACTATTCTTCTTTTTTTTTGCATTGCTCATGCTTGCGGTACGCAAAGCCCACACTAGTGAGCACTCTTGCTCGCATGAATTATTGCAAAACTGCCTATTCGTTACCTTGAAGTTTTTTGCGAATTGGTGTATACTGAGTAAAGGATTTGTTGGGCTCCTCTCCGCCGCACGACTTTTCCATGAAAACTCCATCTTCATGAATAAAGAACATCGGCGGTGGACATGGGAATCACCCAACGGAACGACTCATGCGGAGATGGACCGCATTCTCACCAACAAGGTGGAGCTTGCTCGATGTCTCAGTAGTTCCATCCCTCTGCAGTGGCTCCGATCACCGCCTCCTTCGAGCGAAGGTACGATTCAGTCGAAGGCTGGAAAAGAAGGTCTGCCACAGTGCCGCAAGAAGAAAGAATGTCGTTTATGACGGTAACAGGCTGGAGGAGCTCATATCAAGTTGTGACTGGCCCATCGAGGAGGACCCAACGTACGACTACGACCGGCTTCTGAAAGGATTGCGAGCCTGCGGAGAGTGCGCCTCAGTGACTTCCGAGAAGAACGTGGAACGCATTTCGAAGACCACCAAGGAAATGCTCGAAAGAAGAAGATTTCGGAGGCATGATCCGAATGCAACCCATCTCAAGCGACTGATAGCCAACGCCAGTTGCAGAACAGCTTTGCAGGAGGATCTCAGGAAGTAAGGCAAGCCAAGATACTGGAAGCAGCCGAAGGAAGACGAAGTCTCAAGAAGTGCCGAAGGGACCTCTGTGAATATCACGTATCGTTGGTTGCACTATTAAACGAAGACGGGACTCCGACTTCTTCCCGATACAAGATGGAATCTATCGCGAAGAACTTCTATACCAACCTCTTCCGCTCATCAACACCCGTGCAGATGCCCGTTGTTCCCACTGAAGAATTACCACAAATTCTACCTGCTGAAGTGCACACAGCGATCCAGCCCATGAAGACGTCCACGGCTCCAGGACCAG